TTGCTAAGACAAACAAGTTTGTTTACATTTACCGGAGATAATGCTGCCCACTTCTTATTTACAATGTCACCTGAAAGTGAGAACAGACGTTCGCATGGCAATTTTGTAGCCAGCATTGCAAGGTATTTACATGCCAGATATGCTAAACATTTGTATGGCCCTTCATGCTTCAGCCACCATTCCAGAGGACATGCTTCCATGCTGATGACGCTTGTTAAAAAAAATGTGTTAATTAAATTTGTGACTGAACTCCTTGGTGGAGAATTATATGTCTCCAGCTCTATTTTACCCGCATTCTGCCATATGTTTCATGTTATAGTAGTCTCGGATGATGACTCAGCACATGTTCATTTTAAGAACACTTTCACTGCAGATTTCACAAAACGCAAAGAAGGTACCAATGTGAGATTTCTAAAGGTAGTTACAGCACTTGACCCAAGGTTTAAGAATCTGAAGTGCCTTCCAAAATCTCAGACGGATGAGATGTGGAGCATGCTTTCAGAAGTCTTAAAAGAGCAAAACTCTAATGCGGAAACTACAGAACCTGAACCACCAAAAAAGAAAATCAGCCTTCTGCTGGTGGCATCTGACTCAGATGATGAAAATGAACATGCGTCGGTCTGCACTGCTTTGGATTGTTATCGAGCAGAACCCGTCATCAACCTGGACGCATGTCCTCTGGAATGGTGGTTGAAGCATGAAGGGACATATGAATTTTTAGTGCATCTGACATGTAAATATCATGCAACGCTGGCTACAGAAATGCCACGAGAACACCTGTCCTCCCTTTCAGGTGACGTGAACAAGAAGCGGGCAGCATTATCTCCTGCAAATGTAAATAAACTTGTTTGTCTGAGCAATTGGCTGAACAGAAAATAGGACTGAGTGGACTTGTAGGCTCTAAAGTTTGACGTTTTGTTTTTGAATGCAGTTATTTTTGTGTGCATAATTCTACATTTGTAAGTTAATCTTTCATGATAGAGATTGCACTACTCTACTTGTATTAAGTGAATTGAAAAATACTATAGCTTTTGTTTTTTACAGTGCAAATATTTGTAATAAAAATAAATATAAAGTGAGCACTGTATACTTTGTATTCTGTGTTATAACTGAAATCAATGTATTTGAAAATGTAGAAAACATCCAAAAATATTTAAATAAATGGTATTCTGTTATTGTTCAACAGTGCTATTAATCGTGCGGTTAATCTTTTAAAGTTCATGACAGCCCTAGTCTAACCTCTTGTTGCGTTTGAAATCTTTACAGTAGTCAGGATAGGTCCTACCTGTGAATTCTACTTGCTTATTAAAACCTTTTCAGTGACAGAGCTAGAAAGTTGCAACATGGGCACAAATGTGAGCAGGGATTTTTCCTCTAATTCATATAGGAAACTGCCTGGTAGTTGCAATTGGTTAACTTGTTGGTCTCTGCCCTGACCTGCTCAAATCTGGTATTGTTCCACTAGTATATAGGAAGGTCTAGGGCAAGAGAAAATTGGGAAGTTTAATGACATACTGCAGAAGTCTCTGCTGAGGGAGACTAAGACATGAACCCATCTCAGATGTTCGCTATAGCGAGTACTTGAATAAGGGCTATTAAAAAGCCTTTGAAATGGTGCTTCTTTCAGAATGGACCCACTATTTCATTGCTGCCCATGTCTTACCTAGTGAGGAGCTATACAAGCCCAACTCCAGCCTGCATTGCCTTACCAGTTTATACATGGTGTCTGTCTGCTTATCCACCACCAGTAACGTGGTCTTTTCCCCACACCTCTTAATCTTCTCCACCACGGTGTCGTGATCCAGTGCCTCCACTGACTCTCCATTTACAGCCACCAGGATATCATTGTCCTTTAGACCCGCCTTGGCTGCTGGGCTACCAGAATCAATGTCCTTAATTAAATGACCTGATCTCCAAAAAAATAAAAGAATACAGGCCTAGTTCAAATAGAGAAAAGCAGTTGTTCATGGGATGTGTCTGGTTTGGATGATAAAAGATATTTAAGATGGTAGAAACTCATTCTCTGATTTCAGGTTGAAATAAGCTTCCTGATTTAGCTAATTCTGCAGTAACCCTAGTGCAGATCTAGATCTCCTTCCAAGTGACTTGAATACAGGTTCCCTTTCACCTGAACAAGACACATGGAAGTTGTGGTTTACTCTGAGGCAAGGGGCGGGGGAGTTTAAGCCTACTTAAAATTGAGCATTTCATGGTTTTGGTGAACCCAGTTGTGAAAGAGCAACTAAGGATCCCTTTGAAGTCATTCAGATATGCCAGGGTTCTATTGTGAAAAACCATCAGACATTACCCTGGACACGTTGCTGACCCTCAAAAATGTGGGGTTGGAGGCTGCCACAAGTGGAGATTATGGGAGCTGGACTGTAGTGGGTGAGGAGGGCCACAAGCAGCACAGTGGAATGTTCCACCTCAGATTGGAAGGTTTGAAGGAGATTAAATAGATTCCAAGGCCAGGAGGGACCATTTGTGATCATCTAGTCTGGCCTCCTGTATAAAACAGGCTATAAATTGGACGTGCCTGGCTGTGGTGAGGTGTGTTGGGGGGGCGGGGGCGGGACACTGGGTTGGCAGCAGGACAGGAAATGATCTTTCCAAGATGAGCAGTAGGCACTGGAGAGTAGGAGTCCTACAGGCCCCATAAAAGCGCACTACAGAGTACGCAGGGGCCGGGCTGATGGCTGGGTTCTCACCGTTACTATTTTGTTCCACCCTCAGGTAAAACCCATAGCCGTTGTCTCCTTTCTTGAGCTCCGCAAGTCGGGGTTTGTGAGGAAGCAGTTTCAGGCTGGCTGTCTCTCTTTTCAGCATCATCTGGTGGTTGCTGTAATACTGGTCAGTTTCATTATCTGATAGCAGAAACACAACATGGTTCCCAGACTTCTTCACCTGCAACGACACACACAATCTCAAACACAGGCCTTTGAGTGGAGTGTGGGGACTGTGGAGAGCTTTATGTTGGCAGGTTCTTTGATGTACAATGGGGGCTGTAAGTGAATGGGCTGTAGGGTCTATACAGACTAGGTTGTTGGATGGTGCTCTAATATGTGCACCCATGTGCTGCCTATATGACTGTAGACAGCCACAGCTACCACAAGTTGCTGTAACATTCAGCTCTGATTGCTCTGGAGCTACTTCCAATCCCCTTACATTCCCATACCCTAACTGTGTTTTTTGTCTGTCCCCATCATACCTCTGTTTCTCTACTCCCAGTCTTCTCCCCATCTTCACTCAAGCCTGCATGTTTCTTCTCATAAAAAGTATTGCAACAATAGTACAGAACACAAGTACTACAGTTTTGCATAGTTAATATAGTGGTTTGGATCATTATAGTGGATTGCTTTGCAAACTTATTTGATCGTCCCCCTCCCCCCTTCTTTGTGTCTGTAGTAGTTTGTGTCCTCCCCCATGTACATATACCACCACCCAGCTCTGAAGGCAGAGCGGAGAGCAGCGGCTGCTGGCTGGGTGCCCAGCTCTGAAGGCAGCACTGTGCCAGCAGCAGCAGCACAGAAGTAAGGGTGTCAATGTGAAAAGAGAGATTCAGCAATATCACTTCACAGCAGAATTAGTGCCCAATTGCTACCTTTATTTCTGCGCTGCTACTCCAGGGTTGACAGCCACCTCCAGGTATGGGATTGGGACGGTGGGGAGGAGAGCCTGAGCCCATGCTGTCTCCCAGTGAGGGATTGGGGGGGTGGGAGGGGAAGGAGAGGAGAGCCCAAGCCCAGGAGGTGGAGCTCCTGCTGTCCCTGCTTCCCAGGAGTGCATGGCCCTTCTGCATGAGCCCCAGCCACCCAGGGCTGACAGCCAGAGTGCTTTAAAAAAACAAAAAACAAAACCCAAAACAAAAACACACAGCTTGCATCTCCCCTGACACGTTCCCAGGCCTCCCTTGGGAGTTTGAGAACCACAGTGAAATGCTGTAGGATTTGTAGTTTGGATAGTGGTACTCTGAAAGCTTTTCTAGCTCAAGCTGCTTCATAGTCATACTATGTTTGAATGCTTAAAGCCTCAGCATGTGTGATTTTTACCAAAGTGACTAATGGAAAAGTCACATGTTCTTTTCTTTCCATCCTTATCTCTGATGCTACCCTCAGTGGATCAGTGTTTGGTTTGATCTCTCAAACTACATTCATTATTTTCCCTAACACCAAGTAGATCTTTAAAACCACCATCACCACAAATAGGAATATACCAGTTGTTGGGAGGATGTGGCAGAAGGACATTTCATGATCAGAAATGCAGATTTTCTTGCACACTTCGTTCGCTCTGGGCTCCTTTTACTGACAGCTTGGTTACATTATTTGGCTCTGATCGAGTCTGTAAACTGTACTGTTAAAATTAGTTTTGCGTTTCTTAGCAGGAGGGAATCCCATTTCCTGGAAATCCTCCTTTTCCTAACTATCCAGATCTTCACATCAAACCCTTCTTTAGCTAAATCACGGAGCACAAACTGCTGTGCTTTCCAGTCTTACCATCCTAATATCAGAAAGATTCCCCATTGTACTAGACTCCATCCCAGACATGCTGATTTCATCCTCCTGGGCACCAGAAAGATTTTCAGGATTCCTAGAACTGTGCAACCATTTATTTAATCAGGCTTATGGCAACAGTACAGTTGTGGTGCTTACACCACTTGGGCCTGACTTGCGGGCAATATTCTTCCAAAGCAAGCTTAGGGTGTCGGGTGGAAGTCTGTCCCTGATTTTCAAGAACAGTCAACCTTTTCAGCAGCCTTGCACTCCGGCTACCCTGACCTATCCAAGAAACAAAGCCAAAGTAGCAGCATATTTTGTGACTGAAGTGTTGCTGATAATGTACGGTATTGACCTCAGCCTCTTCACCTGCTCTGTGAATGCATTCAAACAGTGTTGACACTGCTGCCCAGTAGCCTGAGGCGGAGGGACTGGCCTTAAATGAAGGAAGAAGAGGAGTCGTGCTAGTAGATACCTTTTCAACCACTTCCTCATGTTTGTCGTTTTCCACGTTCTTCCCATTCACTTCGATCAGGCGGTCATTATGTTGGACTCCTGCTTTTGCAGCCACTCCTTGTGGGGACAAGCCTATGATGAAGACGCCCTTCTGACCTAGAACAGGTGAGAGAACTTACTACACAGAGCAAGCCACTGGAACCTGCCTCCACTGGTTGCCAAGCAAATTCCATGCTGATGTAAGGTGCTGTAGTGACAGCCCTGGACACCAAGGGGCTCTGTTCATCCATAGAACAGATACAGTGACAGCACAAGTTTTTTCTACCCAGACACACCTGTGTGCCTCATCCTGGCCGTGGAGGGATAACCTCTAGAGAGGGGAGGGAACTTCATCATCTATGGTCCAAACTATTGTTTGCCTCTCTCCTGAGACTGCCCAAGGCACCAATTATGGTGGCTTGGTTGATTGTTAGTACTAATGAAAATGGAGTGATTTTCTAAAGTTTGAACTGGTTAAGGCCCACTTTTATTGTTTAATGTGGCTTATCCACATGTCAGAGTTTCTTGTGTTTGAAAGACTTCCAAATTTCATCCCTGGGTTAGTCTAGTGCACAGTGTTATTTATATTGTGTTAGCACCCTCCGTGAGCTAGGCACTTTCCAAACAGAGAGACAGTACAGGTCTACAGAACCCTACCCATTCTTTTGCCTAGAGGGTTCAAAAGAAAAATAAAATTCCTTAGTTCAATTTCGTGCGTCCCACTTGAACGCATCTAGATCAGAAGAGGCTCTTTGCCCTTTGCACACTGTCATCCTTTGCTTCAGCCCCTTTCACATGGTTGTCTTCAGATAAGCTCCAGAACCCTGAGGGCTGGTTCCCACCGTAATTCAAAGGAGGTGCCTGGGACTTTGAGCAATCATTTGTAGGGTGCTTCTGGCATCTGAGGAGGGCCTGGTACCAATGGTTTTAGCAAGTCTGCTTCAACAGCTGACAGAAAATAGAACAGGCTGGTGAAGAACCAACTCCCATCCCCACTCCTAACCAGAGGAAATGTGCCCTCGGGAAATTGCCTACCCTCTACACCCATTATTCTCACCAACTGTGGTTTTCAAGGAGAAGTCGTAACTGTTTCTCTCCTTCACCAGGTAGCAGAGCCGAGGCTGTGGAACTGGAGCTGTCACTCCATTTGTCACTGGAGGCTGCTTCTTTTGCTGCTGTGTTGTCTGCTTCTGACCCAACTCTTCAAAGTTCACCCCTTCTTTCTGTGCCTTTTCATAGGATGCCTCATCCAGAATGAGGACAGTTACAGAATTCCCACTCCTTTTGACCATCTCCACTACCTGCAATAGATAGAATGAGCTTGGAGGTGGAAATGGCAGAAAAGCATCCAGATGGCTGATATAAATTCCCCCCGCTGGAGCACAGCACATACTAGCTCTGCAGCTTCCACTGCCCTTAGTATTTCATCAAGGATCTTTTCCCCTCTGCTCAAGCTCCAGTGAAGCCAATACGTGAGGTACAAATGATCCTGTGAGCTCAGATTTCCCAGCAGGAGTTACTGTGAGGAGTGGCAGGTGAAGGTTTGCTGAACTGAATACCAAAAGTGGGGCTGAAGTTTTGAGAAATGGCTGGGACCACAAAATATAGTTAGACTTACCCGTGTATGCTCTTCCTTGTCTACAAATAACCCATTGACCCTCAGAATTCTGTCTCCATCCTTCAGGCCGGCCCTGTCAGCTGGACTGCCCTCCTCCACGTTCCGGATGAGGTGACCCAATTTGTTTTTCTCAATGCGCAGGTAGAATCCATAACTCTCCCCCTCTTGTTTGGTCACTATGCATTCTCGAGGCTGGAGAGCAGAGGTCATTTCTGCCAAGCAAAATGGAAAAGGGATATGTGTAAAAACAGGACCAGGAAAAGGAAGTATGTCCCCTTTAAGTATGCACTGGGTAGGTCATTTGAGCCAAAGTGTTTTTAACAAAGATAAAGAAAGAAGAACATGCTTTTGTCCTCCATCTCAGATGAAGATAGTGTCTGCCTCTTGCTAAGGAGACTGACTGAAGGCAGAATGCCAGAGAGAGAACTTGTCTGCTGTGGAAAATAAGATGGGAAAACTGTGGTCAGGATCTATTCCAGACTGAGCCTCACGGGACAGAAACCATAATACAGATTAAGCTGACAAGTGTTGTCAGTGGTAAAGAAAATTGAGGTGTGGCTAAAATGGAATTCTTAGAAGAGGGCAAGATTAAGAAAGAAACAGGTAGCTTTGAGCAAAGTGACCCTTCTTAGTATTTTTGGCTAAACAGTTGGAACAACAGAGGTTTTTATTTGGGTCATTAATTGGTCAAAGAGACTGTTGGGGGAAATATTACTCCTGGGGGAATTGTGCGCCACTGCGCAATGCAGAGTTTTGAAGAAATTAATGTCGTGTGTGCAGAATGTCCTTCCTCCACAGAAATGGGCTGTGGTGCTGCTAGGTGCCACTGGACTCAGAAGAGCCCAGCTTGCACATAGAAGACACTGCTGGGGGAGGGAGAGGGAGCTAAGGATTCCTGGCAGCTGCAGTTCCCAGTATGGCCTGAGGGAAGGAGAGGGCAGCGTGCAGGAAACGCCATGCAAGCCTGGGACCGAGCATCAGGCTGTTTCTCCCTCTGGATCTCTGCGGGGAAGGGGGTCGGGAGTCTGGGCGGGGGGGGGGTGTGTGTGGGGGAGGGGCTGCAGCTGGCCTCTGGGGGGCAGAGGGGGTGCGGGTATCTGGGCTGGGGGGGACCATGGTTGGACTCTGCAGAGGAGAGGGTTCGGGTGTATTGGCTGGGGGACCCCCGCGTCTGGGCTCTGGGGGGAGGGGTTGAGTGTCTGGCCTCTGGGAGGGGTGGGGAGGAAAGGGGCAGAGAAACAGGAACTGGGTTGTCATAGGGGTTTCTTCAACTCTCTACTCCTGGGGGAATTTTTTTATGTGTCTGTATTGTTACAGACATACTTGCTGACAGGTATTTTTAAATAAATTACCGAAATAAATGAAACTGGCATGATTATGTAGTGCTATTTTGGCAAATAAAATTTGCAGAATTTTTCAGAATTTTAAAATATTGTGTACAGAATTTTTTGTGTGTGTGGCGCAGAATGTCCCCAGGAGTAAAAATATTAAACAAATTAAGGGAGCCTAGCTTGCCATGTGAGCCTGCAGCTGCTGCTCTGTTCTAATTACTGTACGAAGCCCTTTTTTCTGGCTAAGTTCAGTGTCTGTCTCTATCCCCAACCCCTTCCACACAGAATGAAATGTTTACTTCCCTCCTTTTGCATAAGGGGTTAAATTCTCTCTTGTCCCATTTGTGCTGAGTCTGGAGTGAGACCAAGAGGTTTATTGGTCCCTTTGGAAGTGCAGCCAGTCCCACCTATTGAATAAAAATATTTGAGATAGGAGGGGCTAAGGGTCCTTTGGGTCTGATAGTGTTCTTCATACTCAGACTTCAGGTGCAGAGAACTAGAGGTAGGCATTGCTATTGTAGACGTTTCTGCGGTAAATGGGGGGAGGAAAGAGAAATAGATGCCAAGGAAAGAATCTGGGTTTACTAAATGTTTTGAATCCCTTCTGGCCTAGTCTACACTTAAAACTTCTACTTGCATAGCTATGTTGGTCAGGAAATAAACTGATAAAACCCCCAGTATACGTGCAGTTATACTGACAGAAGAGGGCTTTGGTCAGCATAGCTAATGTCATTCAGGAGGCAGTCTTACACCAGTGGAAAAACTCCTGTTGATGTATGTCTACAGGAGGGAGCTAGGCTAGCATAGAGGTAGCCTCACTGGTTTGGAAATGGGTTTTAACTATTTTGCTGCTGGTCGTTTGAGCAGAAATGTCTAGATAATATGCTTATCCCACAATCCTAACCTGCCTTCTCAGGTACCAAAGATCTCACCTCACTACCTGTCTTACTGCCAGAGCTTCCAGCTTCTCACCCTGCTGACCTCTACAGTACAGTGATGCGTAATTAGTACAAAAATTGTGAGACACCTTGGAGGAAATTGGATATCTTGAAGGAATTTGAATACAGTGTAGAAATAGTAGGCTATGTTCATTATTTTCCATTTAATTAATTGAAAAACTCAGTTTTTAAGTGTTATGTTAAATGATGCTGAATTTCCAGTCTGCTGCCCCAGCGTGCCACACAAACCAGGGGATTTCCATGCAGAATTTAGGGCCAGCTGCCTGTGCAGCAGATGGGGTTTTGGTGTATCACTACGAGGTGGGATGGAACTCTGTTCTTTTGGGTGCCTGACCATTATAAAATGCACATCAAGGGAGAGTTTAATACATGGGAAATAAGGTGTGTGACTTCACTTTAGGGAACAGGAACAAGGGAAGCCAGTTTCACTGTTTCAACAGCTCCTGCCAAAGAACTGTGCTAATATGTGTTTGTGTAGGGGTTGCGGGTGATTAACTTTGGCCTGGTCCACACTAACCCCTCACTTCGAACTAAGATACGCAACTTCAGCTACGTTAATAACGTAGCTGAAGTCGAAGTACCTTAGTTCGAACTTACCGCGGGTCCAGACGCGGCAGGCAGGCTCCCCCGTCGATGCCGCGTACTCCTCTCGCGGAGCAGGAGTACTGGCGTCAACGGCGAGCACTTCCGGGATCGATCCCAGAAGATCGATTGCTTACCGTTGGACCCGGAGGTAAGTATAGACGTACCCTAGGACATCTTTCTCTGAGTGGCTTTTCAGAAGTCTGTGTAATGATGTAGTTAATGACCTATAGCCCTTTGGATGGGCTTTGGCTGCTTACCATCACTAAGAGAGAAATCTGTCAAATGACCAAGGCAAGCTGTGATGCAGAGATTACCCATTAATCGCAGCCTGGGCAATTAAAGTCCATGTGATCACCTACTGTAAAGTTTTACATGTCTATCTCACTACAGCTGTGTTACTAAAATTGCTCCAGGTTCCTGACCCTGTGAACCACCCTCTGTGACTACCCACAGGATACTAGTCTAGGTCCACAGAGTCCATGAGCTGCTTTGTGGCTAGTGAGAATCATCAAACAATAAATTTGGGTTAGTTTATAGAGAAATAGGTCCATGTCACAGGGATGGTCTGGCCTGGGACTTTCTGGGTCTGGAGATCATTAAAAAGACAATATTTCCAAGAAGCATTGACAAAATTTGTCCAAGATCCCATTTATACCAGAGAAGTCCTAGCTGCTGACATGTCCCTCCAAATTGTTCACTGTTGCTATCCCCCTGGAGGTGGATGGACGGACAGACTCGCACACACCACTCTTGTCAATTGGGTTATATTCTGGAATAGCTATTCCTGATTAACTCCTTGTGTGGATCCTCTCATTCTGGAATAAGAGTCCCTTATTTAGAGCTATTTAACAAATTCAGAATAAGGTACTCTTATTCTTGAATGAGAGTGCCCACACAGAGTTAATCAGGAAGTTAATCTGCTTTAAATTCAAACCAGACTTTATTCTAGATTAATTTTCATGTGTAAACAAGCCCTAAAACAATCCCCCCCCTCTTTTTTTTTTTTTTTTTTTAAAGATGGTTGCACCTTTAGTAAAGAAGCATAGGTGGGGCAGGTCAACTAGCATATTGAAGGTCAGAGGGGCACAAATGTGTTATGGAAGCTGAAGGAAGATACTGGAAGGTTTTGGTATCTTGGAACCCCACCCATTGATCAGACAGCTGGAAGGATTTAATATACTGCAATACCTCAAACTTAGCTCGGAACATATCCACAAAAGAGAAATTAAGACTGAAGTAAATTCTATTGTAGCAGGTGCATCCTTTCCTAGTATCCAGGGATACTTTTATACCTAGACCTGATCTGGAAAATTTCTCCTGGCAGAGGTTCTTCAGGCCATCCCAAATACAGCTCCCCTGTAGGTAGAGAATAGGAGCCCACAGCACATAATTTATCTGCCCTCCCTTTGAAAATTCAAGATTTGCCCTGATTCTAGCCACCATGCAGTTGTACTATGGCAAACCCTCAGTGTAGACAGGCAAAGCTACCACTTGTACTTGTGGAGCTTACCCCGCTGGAAACCAGAGCAGGCTGCATTGGTGAAAATTGCAGCTCATACTGTTTGTCCTATGTTTTCTAGGAGTTTATACCAGAACCTGAAATAGAGGCAAATCCCAGTGTAGACAAGGTCTAAGAAACATTCAGGTACAGAGAAACTGATGGTGAACTCATGCACCTCAGAGGAAAGTGGGGAAGCTAGCACAGGGCTCAATGTTACTACTTCTTTTGCTGCACAAAAGCTTTATGGGGGATGGGGGTAAAGAACCTAAAAGATAACCAGGATAGTAACTACTGGGAGGTTTTGGGGGAAAGGGGTTAGTGAAGAAAGAAGGGAAGTTCTTACCTGTGTCTGCGTAGAGCTGTTCCTTAGGGAATTCTCTCCAGCAGTCTCTCCTGTGGCTGTACCTGTAGGTACAGCTGGACTTTGATTGAGCAAAGGTTGATTTAAAAGATTATTTATTTAACTGAGTCTCATGCATGTGTTTACCTACTTGATAACCTGCTTGCAGAGGTGCAAATCACTTCTCCTTTCTCAGCAACTTTGAATTCTGCTGCGGAGTTTCATTGATCATTATACTCTCAAACTCAGACTTTCACGGGGAGCAGATCCAAGATAAGCCTGATCTTTGCTCTTGGTGAGAGCTTTCCCCTGAGAGAGACAAGGGTTCCCAAGAAGCAGATCCAAGACCTGCTCATCCGCTAGGAATGAGCATCTGCAGGCTCTGGTGACAAACAGGGACTCAGCTATTGGAAATAACGCTTCTGTTGCACCTCTGCTGGTTGTAGTCTCCAAATTAGTAACGGGCCTAGTTACAATGTGGTAAAATGGCATTG